GCTGCCTGCCGAGGCGCCGCGGGGTGAGCGTCCCGTCCTGCAGCGGCCCGCCGGGCAGCGTTAGCGCAAAGCGTGGGGATCCGTACCATTCAGCAGGGTGCCAAAATGGATCACTTGCAAGTACTCCGCCTCGCGCATGAAGCCGGTCAGCGGAGTGGCCCAGCCTTCGCTCAGCACCTGCACCCACTGCAGATCCAGCTGCAAAACAAACCCAAACGGCACTCCTGTCACCAGGTCACGCTCGGAGGTGGCTTTTCCTTCCCTCTGCAGCAACAGTGCTCTCGTGTGTTTTTCTTCAAACACAGGACATTCACGAAGGGGGAGAAAGCTGCGGGAGGGCTGGCTCACGCTCTTTTTTAAGGCAGACTCATGGACTTTCACAGCACAACGGCTTGCGGGGCTGTACTAACACCACAAAGAGCCTGACGGCCTTGGCTTGCTACAGCACGGGGGGGGCACGGCAGAAATGGCTGAGGGTCAGGACCACGCTTCAGCTCGCCATGAACTGCAGCCACAAAAGGACACGGCCGTCAGAGGAACAGAGCCCCTCTAGCAACGTCCCCGTCGAAGCTTCTCCCCCTCGAACAGCCGAGCAGCGGCTGCACCACAGCACAGCGCCCGCCCGCAACGGTACCTTGGTGATCTCTACCGACGGCAGCATCTCTGCTTCAGCTCGGACGTGGTCGAGTTTGTTTTCAGGTACAAACAGCTCAAGAACATCCTTAACTGAGCCATGGGGCACGATGTTCTGAAAGAGAGACAGACAGCGGTTGTAAGTCACGCGCTGGTTTTGAAATGCACACCAAAAAGTCAGTATCCAAAACCAGGGTTACAAGTGCCGGCAGCGGCGGCGTAGGAACGACCTACTTCTGTTTGGAGGAGCTCCACCACCTGCTGAATGCACTCAGACACCGACGCGACGTTCGTTTTCAACACCAGTTCAGGAGATTCGGGCTTCTCGTACTCCGAGTCAATCCCCGTGAACCCTACGGACAATTAAATCCAGACTAAATTCATTTAACGCGATACCCTGTGCCCTAGAGCCAACCACACTGTGCAAGCAACCGGCAAGCATTCAACCACGCTGAGTACTGCAAGTGAGAGCAGTGACAGTGAAACCAGGGCAACGGGCTACCCCCGCACACGCCCAGAGCCTCTGGTAGCCCAGCTCTATAGGCTACCCCCGAGCACGCCCAGAGCCTCCGGTAGCCCAGCTCTATAGGCTACCCCCGAGCACGCCCAGAGCCTCCGGTAGCCCAGCTCTATAGGCTACCCCCGAGCACGCCCAGAGCCTCCGGTAGCCCAGCTCTATAGGCTACCCCCGAGCACGCCCAGAGCCTCCGGTAGCCCAGCTCTATAGGCTACCCCCGAGCACGCCCAGAGCCTCCGGTAGCCCAGCTCTATAGGCTACCCCCGAGCACGCCCAGAGCCTCCGGTAGCCCAGCTCTATAGGCTACCCCCGAGCACGCCCAGAGCCTCCGGTAGCCCAGCTCTATAGGCTACCCCCGAGCACGCCCAGAGCCTCCGGTAGCCCAGCTCTATAGGCTACCCCCGAGCACGCCCAGAGCCTCCGGTAGCCCAGCTCTATAGGCTAAACCTGAGCACGCCCAGAGCCTCTGGTAGCCCAGCTCTACGTGCGGAGCCGACACACCATGCCATCCAACGCCTCGGGCAGCAGAGGCAAAGTGAGCGCTTGCTCTTCCATACCTTTGATCTCTCCCGCTCTTGCCTTTTTGTACAGGCCCTTCACGTCTCTGCTTTCACAAATATTTAGAGGAGCATCTACAAAGATTTCGAAGAAAGGAAGCCCAGCTGCCTCGTGAATTTTCCGTGCATTTTGACGATCCTGTTAGAAGAAATTCGGGAAAACCACGTATCTGAATTCCAGCGAGCACGTTCCTACTACATGGCATGCCCTGGAATTTGACAGGTAAATTCATCTCTGGTATAGATTTACTAAATTTACACTAATTCTAACAAGGGTTTTTCATCTCCCTTCCCCCCTTTTCTTTAAAGACACTTTAACAAAAAATAATCTACAACTTCAATCTGTTTTCAGCTTTTTCCACCCGAAACATCATGAAGATCTCTTTGTTAAGCAGCACAGCAGAACTTTAGAATGTGAGTAATTATCTGCCCTGGGTCGAGAAAAGGAACTGCTTGCATCGGCTTGATAATGGCAGCTACTTGGTATCCTCCGGAAACATAAAACACCATCAATACTTCAAACAGAGCAGCAATAGCACTATGAGGGGCTGGTGTCTCTGTGCCTCTCTTCTGCCTCCTCACGAGTTAACAGCAGGAGCCTCTGCAGGGAGACGACAACCTTCCCTTAGCTTTTAATCGATGTGTAACACTGAATATATTCAAAGAAGTGACATCAAACTGCTCTCCAGAAACTTGTCCTGATCGTGTGGAGTGCTGTGCATCGGCGGTGTTGTACAAAGGAACAGAGGAGAAGTTCCAAGGAGCAGCTGATAGCATATATAGGAAGTCCTCTACGTAAATCTCTCTTTCCTGAGAACAATCGTGACATCAAGGCTGCCCAGAAAGGAGCAGAATATGATGCAGTAAGTTTACCTTTGTGAAAGGAGAGATGAAACTGGTTATGCAGACGAGGCCAGCGTCAGCAAACAGCCTGGCCACCTCTGCGATGCGGCGGATGTTCTCCTCGCGGTCCTCAGCCGAGAAACCCAGGTTCTTATTCAAGCCATGCCGAACGTTATCGCCATCCAGGGAATAGCAAGGGATGCTGTGAGAAACCAAGTACTCCTCCAGAGCAAAGCCAATGGTGGTCTTGCCAGCTCCAGAAAGGCCTGTTGGAGACAGAAGAGTGAGGCTCAGGTTTGAGGGCAAAAGAGTGAAAATGACAGCGTAACGCAATACCTCCTGGGACACTGGCAGCCGAACTCCTTCTGCCCAAAGTTGCCCTAGGGAAGGGATGAGGTAGGGAGATTGGATTCTCCTTTTTAGCACATGGTTACCACTGCAGAGCCCCGGCCAACCCTTCTGATTGAAGGGATGGCATTAATGCCATGAGAAAAGCTGCTGAGGGGCTCAACCCAGCAGTGCTGCAGAAGTACCTGTTGCTGGGCCACGGTGGGATAGCAAGTAGGGGAAGCCTGAAAGGATGCCTGCAAGTCTCTCAGCATCTTCCTCCTCCTGTTCCCCCTACAAAGAGCCAACTGCTCTCCCAGCCTGAATCCACACGGAGGTCTTCTGGTCTGATGCAGAACAGCCGTGTTTGTGCTGGAGAGGAGGCCTGGCTGGGCAGAGCTGAATGCTGCTGGCTGTGCCTTTGGGTTTTGTAGTACAACAGACTGATAGCTCGCCTGAGCTGGAGGTGCAGGGCATTCAAATACCCTTCCATTTAATCCATATGGCCCATGCAATGAAATGTCCTTCCATATAGACTCTTAAAACTAAATTGATAGGAAGTTGGGAGACCACTGCCTATTTCAAAGAGTAATCACCAGCCAGAGAAGCTCAAGCCTTTCAGACACCAGATTTCTGAGTGATATTTGAAGGAGGAGGAAATTGCCTCGGCTAGGTTTTTTGGCTTCAGAAATTGTATTAAAGCACATTAGGCATTGGCCACCTTTTCAAAATTAAAGAGGAGAACGAGACTGAAATGCGTTTTAATCCAACACGTAGCACATAAGCTGATAAGAAGGCAAATCCAAATGGCTTTAGAAACCCTTTCAAGTCAGTCTTCCAACGTCGTCCAGCAGTCAAAGAAAGTGCCAATATTTAACAAGCAAACAAACAACCGGAGAAGTGGCAAAAGATGGAGTTGTGTAAATACTGGTGGAGCAAAATAAATGCGATCGTCATTTCTCGCATTGTTCTCCAAACAATGAGTTGATCTTTCAAAGCGGAAGGGAAGGGCAACCAACACATCAGAAGGCACGAAATGAGAAATGATGTCAGAAACCTGCAGTGGCCATGCAAGGCATCGCTCCCCGTCGGACTGGGGGTATTTGTTCATCGGACAAGATGACTGCTGCTCATGAGGTCACTTTAAACACAGTGAACCTCGGTGTCCCCATAAACTTCCCACTGACCCCGAATGAAAACATCCGCACGCTGTTTTGGACAACCCTTGGCATGTTCCACTGCCGAGGACTGGCTGGATTTGAGCCAAGACTTCCTCAGCCACGCACTGGGGAACGACAAGCGTGATCCTTAGGGCTTCTGACGTGTTCGAAGGAGCCCGATAAGAGCTGTGACATTCATAAATACATTGGTTACGGGCAGCAGCTGCCAGGGAGAACATCTTGCTGTGCCAGCACCGCGTGCCGGTGCTTCCCACGTGTAGATGTTTTGCAATTCCCAGCTCACACGGAACGCTGGTGTTTCCCGCGGACCCCAAATCCCCACCTCTGAGCCATGCTCACGTATGCAAGTGGGTTCCACACGTGAAGCCACGCTTTCACGCCCAGATGAAAGTACCTGTGAGCCAAACCGTGCAGCCTCGGAATCCACCCCTGGTACCAACGACTTGTCCTCTCTTACTCCTGCTGACGTGATGGGCTTGGTAAACCACATTGGTTGATCCCTGATGGAAACAAAGCAAACCAAAACACGTCTGTTACCTCGCTGCTCTCCATTCAAAAGAAGACCTCAGCTGGGACTAAGGTAAGGGAGGGAAACGCGAGTTCATCACAAATCTGCATGAGCCGTTGCAGCCAGCTCCGGCAGCTTGGTACAAAAGGGAACACGGTGAAGAAAATAGTCATAGAATCATAGCATTGTCTAGGTTGGAAAAGACCTTTAAGATCATCAAGTCCAACCGTTAGTCGCCTTTGGCGTGAGCTGGATTTCTGTCTGAAGAGCTCAGGCTCGTTTTTTGAAGGCAGGCAGGCAGGGGAGGACGCGGAGTCCAGGCAGCGATACAGGCAGCACACTCCCTGCCTCTTCAGCATTTGAAAACGCAGGCAGGCTCGCCTATTGTTGTAATTACGCTTGCAAAACAGAAGCAACTTCAGGTGCTAATTTACTTGCCGCGTTCAACATAACACGGCTGCTGATAATTGCAGCTGGGGCAAGAACCAGCGGCACAGCAGGGCCGAGCTGAGCGAGCCTGGGACCAGCCAGGGAAGACGGTGGGACGGGAGGCAGAGAAAACACCGAACGCGTAGGTGCGCCCTTCCCGGTGCAAACCAGGGACTGGCACGATGCTGCGCTGGAGGCCCGAGTTTTGGTGCTTCTGAACATGGACCTGCTCCGGGCAGAGCAGCCCCCGCCCCGCCGCCGGGCCGCCGGCTGAACACCCCGTCTGTGCCCCGCCGCTCCCGCAACGGCACTTTGCACATAAAACACCTACAAGCCGTACTGATCGTGAGGGTCACGTTGCCAACAGAGGCGGACAAAGGAAAAGTTGCAAGAGGGAGAGAGGATTTAAATATTTTCTCCCCAGACAGATTCTTCATGAACACAGGTTTATCCTTTTCGTATCGCCAGTACAAGAGCAGGTCTGGGCTTTCCCATGATTTACATCTCACTATACAAGTATTTCTACATCTGAAGTCGCAACAGGGAAGTGATCATCTTTCGTTTGTCAAAGAAAAAGATTTTGGTAAGGGGGAAAAAAAAAAAAGGAATGGGAGGGACAATAAGATAAAAGGTCACTTTTAAACTTGTTAACAAAATAGCTTGATTTTTTTTTTCCTCTGCTTGCTGGGCCATTAACACTTTCACATGATTCGGCAAAGGCACAAGCACTCACTGGAACCTTGGTATTTTGTATGCAACAGAGGGCTCTGCCTCCACAGAAATCCGGGTAAAAATTATTCCTAACGTAAGAGAAAAAATACCCTCTGCTCCTCTCCTCTCCTGTCTCTGCTGTTATCCTTCAGGGAGGCCAGCAGCCCAGCAGGGACCAGCCTCCCACCACAGCATGTATAACTATACGCAGCATTTCATGCCCATTTTCAATTCAGCTTTAGTGAAAGGCTCCGAAATGAGCCTCTCTATGCCTGCAGATTTGCTTGCGCGCACACTGAGCAGCAACCCCACACCAGAACACTTCAACCTACCTTTTGTTTTGCACACTGGCATCTTTTGGAGCTTGGGAAGGCACCACTGAGGGCATTTTTGCAATTCATCAGCACCGTCAGACCTCTCCTACCCGCCCGGAGCTCCAACCACTAACAAATCCCTCTGATTTTTCTGCTACGTTAGTAATCTTGCCAGTAAGTTTTTCCTAACCCTGCCACGTGCTGACTCAGAAATTCTTGTCGCCAGCTATGCCACAAGTCAAAAAAGGCAAGGAGAGGCGCGAGCACGTGGCGGGCAGGGGCTTGGCCAGGAAGGGGCTGCTCCGCAGGCAGCAGCGGCTTCCCACCGAGCATCCGCCGGCTGGGACACGGCGTGGGAAGCCCGCGCCAAAGCACGATCGAACGGCGTGAAGGCACCACCAAAAATAAGCATCAGCGGCCCGAGAACAAATCCTGGGGAGATTCCGTCTAGAAAGAGCGTACACTGCAAGAGTGCTGGGAGGCAGAGATAAGCAGTGGACGGGGTTTGATCAGATGCAGGGCTGCCCTACTGATTTTATGCTCGTGGTTTTAACCTCGTCATCATAAACCAAACATATTTAAAAGAAAGAATCCAATCATCACAGGTTGTAGAAAGGTGGGGGTCGGTCTCTTCTCCCAAGCAATACGTTTCTAAGAAGCGATAGGACAAGAGGAAACAGCCTTGAGTTGTGCCAGGGCAGGGTGAGGTTGGCCATGGGGAACAATTCCTTCCCCTTGGGGCTGTCAGGGGCTGGAAGGGGCTGCCCAGGGAAGGGGTCGAGTCCCCAGCCCTGGGGGGATTTAACAGCCGGGCAGAGGCGGTGCTGAGGGCCAGGGTTTGGGGGTGGACAGGTACGGTTGGACTCAATGGTCTTAAAGGTCTTTTCCAACCAAATAATTCCATGATCTTCACAAGACACCCATGCCTGACCGGTGGGCCCCACGGCAGGGACGATTCAGGGACACCGGTAAGCATTTCTTACAAAAGTCTAGATCAAAGGAGTGTGGTCTGGGAGAGGAACTTCGTACCTGTAATTCATCCCCCAGCAAGGCAACCAACGGCCCGGAAGCCTCTCCAAAGGAGAGCCGAGCGGCCCCTGCCTGCCAGATGGCCAAGGCGGAGGCTGCCGCGCTCTCTGCTTTGCTTGGACATCTGCTGTTCGGCCACATCTGCGTGATCTCAGTGCTCAGCCCACCCCAGCTTACCTCATCCAGGAAACGTGAAAAAAAACCAAGGACACGGCTCCAAACCTCATGCCAAGACTGCAGCGGACCAAGGAGCCAAATCCTAGCTCTGCTTTTGGCCTT